AGTTGAGGGACCACGCAAAACGAACGACAAAAATCTCCAAGGAAGGAGTGTTCTATAATTAAATAAAGAATGTTACATTCGACTTACCTTTATTTAACAGCTGGTGATTTCAGAAACCAAACCAGGTGCGAAGAAATCAATTACAGAGTTTAATTTTCAGCTCATTCGGGACGTTTCGAGTGGCATCACGAAACCTTCCTTTTTGTCATACCCTTCACAAAAATTACACGAGCATTAGGAAAAACAAGTTCAATGCATCCCTGACCAAAAGGGCGAATAGGCTAATCGTCCTTTGAAACGTAGCGGATCTGTGATAGCCGCGAATGTCTAACTACAACACATTTCGCCATGTTGCTCTGACTTGTTCAAGCGTCTGAGCCGAATGATGACGTCACGAAAATATTATATTTTAGTTTGAATCGCAATGCATTGCGGGAAGACGTTCACTCCTTCTCTGATCCGCCACTAACGAAATCCAGTCAACAGTAAGTCAGCGAGATTACGCGTGGTACGTTCCTCTTTGTTAAAGAGAGACCTAATAGTGTCCACGTTTTTTCAACGGATTTAGCTGGTGAGTGCCACTTACTAAATTGCGTTTTGGGTTGGCAGTTCCTTTAAGTTGTACAATTATCTGCGCTCGCATGTTCTAGAATTCTGAGTTGATTGAATAACTTAACTTAAATAATTTCAAACTCACAGCGAAAGACCAGATCATTTATTACGTTGTGAAGCGTTTCCGTGCTATAAAACATTCGCCGTCGGTGTATTAAAGTTAACGGCCTTCCTAGCTATTAAAGTTTGTGCATTCTTTGGAAACAGACTCGATATAAAGCCAACTATTTCCTTCTTCCTCAAAATAACCTCAAAACAGAAGGACCACATTAGCGAGTGTAAGACCCAATTGATTTCAAGCGAACCAAAACAACTGAAACACTTTTCCACATCTCCCCCCTTCTCAGGGAGTTTTCAAGGCAATCAACTCGACTTTATATTTTTTTTAATAACTCAAATTGCCAGTTCGCACCCAGTTAAATCATACATAACCCATTGGTGGCTTGAACAACTGCATAACCTTAGACGAGTATTTTCATCGATCCGAAGCATGTTTTGAAAAGATTGTTCACATCTCCCGTAGTTTCTGCGAAATCATCAAGAGACTCAACACGACTCAACTTTATTTATGTTAGTTTTAGCGACTTCTTGCAACATTTCAGTATTACCCGCTCGTAATCGTAATCTATACCGCAACGATCAGCATCGAATAGAACATTCCCTCCGTCATGTTTACTAGAGCTCCATGAAAATTTTTGCTATAAAAACAGACCTTATCGAAGTTGGGGGAGAATGCCTTACATTCCTCCCATTTTCCCTCAACTCTTAGTTTTACAAAATTGTTGAAATCCTGCTCCTTGTTCTAGCGTTGTCGTCTATGAAAGTACAGAGAATGGAATAATAGCGCGATGATGGCGCAAGCTTCTTCTGTCACGCGCGCTTGATTTTCCGAGAAACACAGGAAGTAGGCGTTCAAAAATTACAATCGAATGGGGTCTCCAGAGAAACGTTTAAAAATTCCCTTTAACTGATTTTATCCAGCAAAATTAGAATCGGCACCAAGTAAGTTTGTACAGTTTTACGTTTTTAAGCCTTGATCGAAGTCTGATCGAAAAAACCTCCGAAAAAACTGAGATTTTGACTCATGACGGCGTCCTAATAACCTGTCTTAATATAAGCCTTAGATTTAAGACTGAATATATTTCCTGAAAAACAGGAAGTCTATGATGTCACAGGGGCTTTCCCTGCAAAGAGTTGCTATTGTCTCAAACCTTTTGAAAGTAGTCATGGTGGCTCCGTTATCAATACAGACGTATTGATCCATGATGAAGTTTTCATCAAAATATTTTTTTTTGTTTTCAACGCGATGGCTACTAAACTTTGAAAAGACCTCCAGATGTCCCTCGGTAATCATATGAACTAATCTGATTTTACTTGTGGCATATATATAGTTTTAGAAGTTAGCGCTTACGTGTACCCTATTGTTTAAAGACAATCGCGTCCAGTAATAGTCTGAAGCGTCAGCCGTCTCTTCGCCCATCCCTCCAACCCAACGGGCGGGTCAAGTAAAAAGATTTTTTGAAATTTTTAACTGAAATTTATCAATATAATAAGTATGCCACACAAATTTCAGAGAAATAGTTGGAGGAAAAATTAGAGAGTACTTTAATACAAATTCAGCTGTGAAATTGTTTTGAATTTTCGAAAACGAAATCCTCTACGCAGGCGCTGGCCCCTTTTCTGAACTCGCATTTATTTTTTTCCAATTCTCTGATAGTGGCGTTAAGAGGTCACCGAAACGTCGGAACATTATCTCGTTAGTTTTTACATGTTTATGTTTCTCCAAAGCATCACCGATCCAAATAACATTATGGAGAAAAATACTATCCGTGCATAAATTTAAAACTCCGTAGAAAATTCGGGACCCCTTTCTTTAATGGCTAGGTATTATTTTTCTTTTATATTTTACTTTACGATATACAGATCGGTTCGTAGGCATAGGCTACGTCCCTCACCCAAGAAGTAGATGAGATAGTCATCTTCAAGATGGCCACCTGTAGCGATCGTTCTCGACGATCTTACGGAAAATCAGAGAACTGTGAACAGTCTAGGTTTTCTGCGGCTTGTGTGCATATGTACATTGTATCTTCGGTACTAAAAGCGATCCATCAAACTACAGTGGAATTTGTATTTCCAGTTGTATTGGAACACTATTTTGCTCAATTCTCAATCAGAGACTTCTTAAACACGTTGACTTGCATAATATAAATTACAAGTCTCAAATTGGTTTTCTAGCAAATAATAGAACAGTAGCAGATCATGTTCTTACACTTGAACATTAATAGTCCGGAATATCTCTAAATTTAAGGACAGGGCCAACTGGTCACGCGACACTTTTCAACCAATGAGAAGGCGCGCTTGTGTTTATTAAAACACAGATCAAAACATCGCCCCAGTGATAAAAAATTTTTGCAACAGCGGACGGAGTCGGACAGAATCAGTCATCGTTTCGAGGCTTTCAGGCATATTTTTGTGGCTTTTTTCTTCTTTTTTAAACAACGTATGAGCCGCGATGTATAGGCGAGACACTTTTCAACCAATGAGAAGGCGCGCCTGTGTTTATCAAAAAACAAATCAAAACATCGCCCCAGTGATAAAAAATTTTCACAATAGCGCACGGAGTCGGACAAAATCAGTCATCGTTTCGAGGCTTTCAGGCATATTTTTAAGACTTTTCATGAGGCATACACAATTTTTTCAAGTGGACAGCGTATCGGAAACCATATTGGAAGTGTCTCGTGAAATATTCAGCACGTTTTGTGGCTTATTTCTTCTTTTAAACAACGTGATGAGCCGCTATGTATAGGCGAGATTTTGGTCGGTTTTCAAGGTACGTGAACAAGTACCTATCATTTTATCCATTCACAGGTTTTGTACGAAGTTCTAGATACTTTTCCTCGATTGTCATATCGATTAACTTTCTTTTTGTGGGGATGGTAGACAACCTAGAATTTTGGTAGACAATTTTTGAATTCCGAGGTCCAAAACACGAGCGGTTAGTATACCTTGCGCTTATGGTCTTCAATTTCATCCCCGCAAATTCGGCAAAGTGAGGCGAGATGTTGGACGTGAATATCCATAAGACTAATAAGGTTGTTTTGGCCTTGAAAAGAAAAAAGTCAAAGACTCGTACTAATGGCAAAAAAAGTAATAACACGGCTCTGTGAGAAACCCGGAAGAGGAAAACGTACTTTGTTTCTGAAATTCATCTAATCTGGAAAGATTTATTGTTGTTGGATTCTCCAAAGGTTCATCCAAAGTTAAAAACAATGAAAGAAAGAAGGCAAATTTCAACTGTAAATGATGTATTTCGCTACTCATTGAACATGCACTGATTATCTGGGATAAAATTAAAACATTGCAGGTACTACAGCAAGCAAGGAAAGCACCAGATGCGTGAAGTCAACACGAAACAACACAAAAAAACAAACAAGAAAAATTAATAAATTTGAACTACTTTTTATTCTTGTTATGATGACTGGTTCTTTGATTCTTGTCCTGTAGAAGTTAATAGGTAGTACCAATCATCCTGTTTTGTACGCTCTCAACAAATTTTCACACTCTCGCTAAGGCTATTTTTACACGGGACCAGTTTGCTTCTATCAAAAATCTTGCAAGCCATGCCAGTGAAGCCACGACCTCTGCGATCGGTCCGGAATCAGCTCGAACACCCCAATGATTCCTTGCAATGAATAATGCTGTTATTCTCTTACATGAAATGTTTTCTTTGAAATATTAAATTTGAAACCTAGCCGAGTACTTTAAGCTCATCTTTAATTCTGTCCGACTCCGTCCGCTGTTGTGAAAATTTTTGATTACTGGGGCGATGTTTTGATTTGTGTTTTGATAAACACAAGCGCGCCTTCTCATTGGTTGAAAAGTGTCGCGTGACCAGTTGGCCCTGTCCTTAAATTTAGGGATATTCCGGACTGATTAATAGATAAATATGTCCATTGCCACAAGGAGAAAATATACGCGAGTTTTGTAGACTTTAGGAAAGCCTTTGGTTCGGTTTGGCATGATGGGCTTCTCTATAAATTATCTAAAATCAATGTCCAAGGAAAATTTGATAGGCTAATTAAAAGTCTATACATGAAGTGTACCTGCTCTGTTAGGATTGGAAATAACAAACGCGATCTTTTCGATACTCAAGAGGTGTGCGGCAAGGCAACAATTCCTCTGCTCTTTAACTTATACCTACGGGTTCTCATTTGACAACGTTTCATCAGACCCTTTCGTGTTACAAAATGGCACCAGACTCAACTCTCTCCTTCACGCAGATGACTTGATAATATTATCGCGATCAAAACGTGGACTACAAAATTGCCCTAACTTCCTATCTTCAAATCTCTTGGATGCTTAGCATAAAACCTAAGAATACCAAAATAATGATTTTTCAACGATGCACACGAAAATGTGAATATAATTTCCGCATAGGCAATGAGGTAATCGACGTTGTCCAAAACTATTGTTGTGCTTCACATGACGTCACTAAAAATTCACACTAAAAAACTATCGATCCTACCTAGATTTTACTTTCACCATGCATTAGAGCAGCTGAAAACTAATTTTCATACAAATTTTCGCTTCAAAAGGGTTTTTGGTTTTGTGATAGAGTACGCTTGAATTTCTAAGCTTTTGCGTAACGCGGCATTTACATGACGGGCAAGAGCTGTCAAGTAGGTAAAAAAAATGACTTATTTCAGGAAATTTTGCTATCTAAACAGTTCATGTATAAGAAAAAGTATTACTTTAATGTTTATGAGTTTCTCGAAGAATAAATTCACGCTTTCGTGGCAAAACTCGGTAACAGATGTTTCTGTTGGTTTCCGTCCGCCATGTTGGAGCTCATCCAGGTGAGCTCCAGCGTGGCGTCTCCATACAAATCTCTATAAGTTTGGGTAAAACATTTCTTCGGATATCTCGTATACGAAATATTCCTCTGACCTGAATCTTGGCGAGGGTCTTTGTATATGTAACTCCTTTCATTTCCCAGATTTTGGACTTTATGTATTGAACGGTTTTGATTTTTTTGAAAACCAGCTGATACTTACCTAGGCACTCGCATCACATCTTCCTGAAATTTTGCACTTTCGCTTGAATACCTTTGACAAAAAGCTCTTCATGCGCTCTTCAGCATAAGACGGGACACGGATCTAAACGGCCTTAAGCCCTCACTTGCATGTAAAATTTTACCCTGTCGTACTCATCACTTCTTAATTCGTTCGATATCGGTTTTCGCGTGGAATTCATCGTGGAATTCACCTGTAAGAGAATGAATTTTGCTGTAATGAAAATTACAAAATAAAGTGGGATCTAAAAATTTTGATACGTACTTTCTTATCAGAAACATGTCAAGACTTGCCGGCTCAGCAATTGCACAGGGATCAAATGTCGGCCGAATCGATCGGTGGTCAGAGTGGAAACCAACGGATGAGTCCACCATTTGGTTATTGCTATCAGGTGCCACTAATCCACCAGAAGGGATTGAAATTTCCAAACGAAGACCCAGAGATGACCCTGGAGATGGGAATGGCGCATTTCTTGCCGGTGTTACTCGTGATTTGGTCAACATGGAGGATTTGGTTAGACCAAAGCTGTATAACACAGTCAAAGATCTTTATTTAACCAAAGACAGAGCTCTTGAACATGTTATCAATTTTTTTGACATATGCAAGGCTAAGGAAGCGCATCCTATGTTGTACTATACTGGGCATGGTGAGATTGGTTCTGGCAACTGGTGTTTTGCTAATGGGACAATCAGTATCCAAGAAATTTCGGACCTGGTGCCTGAGGACTGTTTCTACCCAATGATCTTCAGCGATGCTTGTTATAGTGGACACTGGGCAAATTTTTGTCTCAACAACGAAATTGATGGTTTTGAATGTCTTTCAGCCTGTCCTGATTACTCAAACGCTTTTGATACGCCAGGTGTGTTAATTATGTATACTTTGACTTTTAGAACGTAGCAAAATGCGCTTCAGGTTTAACCCTCGGACCTACACTCAAAGTCATACCCCCACCGTAGTATAAAGTTGTAAAGGCGGACATTTCACTTGTTTCAAGAGTAAGAACTAGGCGAAATTATAGCTAAAAACATGGCAAGAACTGGAAGAACACATCTCAAAGGGCGACAAGGTCTTTGTACTTCAAGATCTTTTCGATGACCTTTGTCGAGGCGTTTCGGTGGGATGGTACTAACTCATCAATTAGCCTGCAATATCGGTTGGCATTGTTATCATTACCAATTTTACCGCGCTCTGCTCGGCCAATCACGTCGAGCAATTGCCTTTCTAGGCTGGGATGTGGGAAGGAGTTTTTTTAATTATTCGTTTGATATAAAACTGACCATTTTACTAACTTAGCAGATAAAAAGACAATTGTTCATGCGTCTTTTTGTCGTTTAACGTAGACTATCTATTGGAAAAACAGTAAACTCATCCTCATGGCAAGAAAACAGAGACAAAAAAATATAAGGAAAAATCAAATGGTTAATGTTTGTTTAAAATTAACCTACAATGTCCGCATAGCTGTTTTTTTTTTTTCTTTAGTCGCGGCTAAGTATGGAAAAAAATCTTTCGGTTGAGGAAGGAGGGGATGGTATCCCGTCTTGTACGTCCGAGAGCATCCTCCGAGACCCAGGGGCGGTCAGTCGGGTCGGGAGAAAGGGCGCGACCAAAGTATTCAAGTACGGGCGAAAGAGCCCCTGGGTACCGACTCTCACCGAACTATTTCCAAAAATTCAAGCGGGTGCGGCTCCTGGTTGGGCACAAAAAATGCTGTGTATTATTGTGCCCAATTGGCGAACAGTTTCTCCTGAGTTCTTTTCGTGAGTTCGTACACGACGGCTATTGTTTCGATCACGCTTGTCTGGCTCATGCACCAAAGAAATGCACGTAGTCAGGAAACTTTCAGTTTGATATAAAATACCCATCTGATTTCAAAATACTGTCTGCCCGAAAACTAAAGACGCTTTTCCAAAAATACAAGCTTGAGCTTACAACAGGTATTCACGTTTGCATCGGTCACGTCTTCCGTAAATATTAGGCAATTTTTAAAGATACCACGACGGCTGACAACTACGAAAACATCGCATGGAAAAGAGAATTCACATTTTTTTCAGTTTTTATCGTGATTATTCCCACTTGCTTACTCTGACAAGGCAAGCGAACTCTTCTGGAGCTGAATTTCTATCAACATATCCAAGTTCATGAAGAGAGTGAATTTTGTCATTGCTTGTTTACGTCCTTCACAAAATAGCAAATTAGGCAGTTTCACGGGTAGTCGTGCAGTTGACGGCAAAGAAATGTACAAAAAAGTGTGATGCACGTGCAAAGTTGTTGTTTTGCCTTGTCAAGGTATCATCCGGCTTATTTGACTCTCTCGTCGCCGCCGCATCTTTATATTACTATTATTTACGATACATCGTGATGTGTCAAAAACAGAATATTCTCGGGGCAAACTGAATTGCTCCTGCTGATAGCATCCCGAACGTTTTTTCGACTCATCGGTAGTTCCTTCGTTTCTGGTAAGGGAAATAGAAAAGAAAAGTTTCCCTTGCACGCACAAGCTTGTTGAACGTGTGGCGAGACAATTTGCGTCGTGTACGAACTCACGAAGAGAACTCAGGAGAAACTGTTCGCCGATTGGGCACAATAATACAAAGCATTTTTTGTGCCCAATAAGGAGCCGGAGTCAGCTTGAATTTTTGGAAATAGTTCGGTGAGAGTCGGTAACCAGGGCCTCTTTCGCCCGTACTTGAAAACTTTCGTCGCGCCCTTTCTCCCGACCCGACTGACTGCCCCTGGGTCTCCGAGGATGGTTCGAGAGTTAACTATATAAGTATTTAATTTAAATGATGTTTCATCCTTTAGTTGATTTTTTTAAATCTTTTTTTAGATAAAGGTGGAGATTTGACTTTGTTTATGACTGGAAAGAAAGAACGCCCCGTTACAGAGCCAATGTACAGTGGAGGAAATTTGCTCGACTTTCCAATTACCAGTGGATTTGATTTAATTTCTTACTCAGGATTTCTGGGCAGTTTTATAAAAAACTCGCATAGAATTGTCTCTTCTCAGAGTATGCATAATGGATACCTCTCTGCATATTTTGTAAAGTCCAAGCTTCACTATCCAAGACCTGCAGTTAGCTGGGGGGATTCATAAAGACTTTGACACTTTTCTTGCTTTTGTAAGGGAACAAAGCAAAAAGACAAGGAGGATTTATTCCCTTGCATGTGACGAAGGTAGCGGTTTTGGAGTATTTCTTATGGAAGGATATGGTACCACACAAGCAGTTTTAAGAAGTACGTCCAGAATCAGAGGGTACTGGGACGATGGCTTTAAAATTACTGCCTGTGCTACCCTGGGTCCGTCATTTTGTATCATCATGACAAAGGACGTTGAAAAGTACAAGAGGAAATCACAGATGTGGTTCACCCGCGAGGCTTGGAGCGATGTTGAGACTGAAATACAGATGGGCTATCAAGCTGAGAAAATAATTACAGGTATTTGTTACTCAATTGAGTTGGAAATGTATTTTGTAGTCATGACAAAGATGCCCCAGAAGCAGTGCTACGCCTGGCAAGTTGACAACACCAATGAAGAATGGAGAAAAAGGGAAAAAATGCTGAAAGAGAAAAGAAAGAAGGGATTTTATCCTACCGTCATCTTCACCGATCCCACTGACGGCCAAACATTATTTGTGATGACGCAGGACGAAAGTATACAGTCTTGCGCATGTAAAGTTAATTACAAAATGAAAGAATAATTCCTTGCTCATACTGCTCTGAAAATGGTTTTAAAAAGCCATTTACAGTATAGCGACTTATTGACGATATTAAGAAAAACTAACTACGAGAGAACGACTGGAAAACTGACAATTTGACTAACAATAGACGATTGTTCAACTGTGACAATGGACGGATCGAAACGCACCAATTACTAATTAATTACGAGTTTTCATAGCCAATAACATTATCGCTTAACTGACAGACGACCAGTTACATCGCGACGTATTTGACCAATCAGATCAATAAACAGAGTATAATACCATCAACTAACGTGATACAACTCACTTTAACTCTGAAAAGTACCTGGCAATACATGCTCCTGAAATAATTCAGAAGAACTGCTACTGCTACTACTGTTGTTGTCGCTGCTGCTGCTGTTTCTGCCCTTCGGGATGATCTCAATATTTTCACTTTCGTCTTCACATGATGATGCCGTAACAATTGTTGTCAAGTTGATGACAACTTTTAGTTGTGTACTCGGCTTATCGGGTAGTATTTTATCTAGCTCGTCGAAGAATGGTGTAGCGTTTCCCGTATTCTTAAGTTCGTCTTCGTATTGGCGATAAGCCGTTATAAGAGTGTGGGGGCGGGTCTTGCAGGCTTCTCCGTCGCGGTCTTCATATATCCACAGGCCGTTAAAAAGTCGCCAATTTCTTGCCATATTGGCTTTTTCCTAGTACAGGACTTCAATCTTAGCTGGAATTTTTCGTCTCCCCATTTTTCGAGCAAAACTCTAGTCTCCCGGTCCTCCCACGTTCTTCTGCGAACTTTTTTTGGAGCCGCCACTTTGACTTCCTACCCTGCCAGCAGAGAATACATTTTCGCGTTATGAGCTGGCGTGCAAAAAGGAGCCTCTGCCGACAAGTGTTCAATTTTCCATGGTGCATGCGCGAAATTCGTCACGCGATTCGCAAGCAAACTTTTCGCACGCCAGCTCATACCGCGCAAATGTAGTCTCTGCTCGCAGGGTAACTACTTCCTACAGGCTGTTTAGTTAAACATGTTTTAAACATGTTTAGATTACGTCAAAGTGCGATGTGAACTGTTTTTATTTTAAACTGAGTTTAACTAAACATTATTTAAACATGTTTAAGCGTTGGTGTGAATGGGGTATAAGTTTACCTTCCCAGCAGAATCCTTTTTGAGAACTTGTAGTGTTCCTTTAACCTAGATAATTTACAACACTCCTTTTATCATGGAATGAGCACATCTGTATGATTGTATCCAAGGCATCCAAGCGTCTGCACGTTATCTGTCTTTTACGTAGGGCTGGCGTCAGTGCTTCTGATCTTGTGGCTATCTACGTCTCTCTTGTACGTTCGATCCTAGAGTTGTCGCCTGGTTTGGCATAACTCCCTTCCTGCCTATCTGTCTAGTGCAATAGAGCGGGTCCAAATGCGAGCTTTGAGCATAATATACCCCCGACCTTTATACCGGGAAGTCATACAATTTGCTAAGTTCCCTGGACTTGATGACAGGCGGTATTGAAGAAATATATCAAGCATAAGACGCAGTGTTTCATCACCAGATGAAACACCGAGAAGATAGTTGAAAATACGACGCGCCGCGGAGTATTTTTGACGAACTTTGAGGTGATTCATCTGGTGATGAAACACTGCGTCGAATGCTTGACATTACTCCTCAAGCAAAATGATTTTGGAAGGAGAAATTAAGGATGCATAAAAGACCAGTTTTTCATCTGATTTCCAAACACTCATTAAACATTAATTTCTTTTGTATTTTCTTAATGAATAATTGATGAGTTTGAGAATCTTGTATGACGACTTTTGAAAAAATTACAAAGGGTGGGCCCTTGTCAAAACATCTAACCCCGATTAGGACTATCGCCCATGACTATTTCCTTAGAAATTCTAACTCTTGGACGTCATGTAAAACGGAGCGTTTTAGGCGAAGCTTCTTCCCTAGTCCAATCTTAATGTCAAGCACATCACCTTTTTAAAAGTTGAATGTAATTCTTGGTCTACGATTTGTGCTTAGGTTAGTATCATTTTTAGTACCTATGATTGAACATTATTAAATATGTTTTTGTAGGTTTCACCATTTTTAATTATTATATTGTAAACCCTGTCACAGTAAGGTTTTTTGTTATTTATTTATTTTATTTTTGAATATTGTAAACACATTGTAATTCATTTTTAATACGAGAATGCGGTGATTAAACACTGATCTTCATCTTAACTTACGTTCAGTGTATATTTGAGGGCCTCAATGGGGTGGTGGCTTTTACGGTTATCGGCTAAAATCTTGGCTCTTTTACGGCTATCTGTTACGTTTTTTCAGTTACGGTTAACAAGAACGTTAAAAATAAATTTCTTTTGTTTCAAAGAGTTTAATATTAACAAACCTGTATTTTTTGTATCTTCAAAGCAAAATAAAGGTCTTAGGATCATCTCGGAATAAATGAAGCTATCCTTTTGAAACATTTTAACATCTGATAGATACTATTTATAAAGCATTCTATTTCTAATATTATTTTACGCATAGAAATGTCAATAGTCAAGTCAAAAATAATCTTTGTGAAAAAGCAAAAGCAGACACTGGCCGTTTTCACACTAGAGCCGGATTATTCGTGTAAGATGGGTTATCCGTTTGATAATTCGCTTCAGATAGGTAATATGGAATGGTTTTAATTTTGAATGAACAATCCGCCTGACTTTATTCGTCAATTTTGAAGGACAGTTTGAAGATGGATTATCCATTTCAGAAAGCCTGTGTACAGCCGTCCCCTCCCCTCAGAAAAAATCGGAGAAGGGATGTCTGTAGGGTAGGGGGCGACTGTACACAGGCTAGTCTCCGACGGATAATCCATCTCTAGCTCTGGTTTGAAAACGGCCAATAACAAAATTCCCGTGTCCAGTGTTTTTAATGACAGCGAGAGACTGTATAGAACGACTGTCTACCGTTGCCTTGTACATAGGCCTCATTATTCCGCGCAGCTAATGCGTTTCTGGTCACGTGGTCCGAGCGAGTCCGAGAAACCTGTGGATGCAATAAAGTTTTGTTTTGACGTAGCGTTTGCCTGCCCACCTGTAGAACCCCTACATGTACGCCGATGTCAAATGTCACATTAAATCTTGCACAAATTGGCATTACCCAGTAAGTTATATACGCCATCCATATGAAGATGAATTGACAGCTGTCAAAATCAGGCATCCGCTGACAAACATCACATGACCATCTCGCGGGCTCAGATGAAACACTGGTCGCTTTGTTCCTACAGGTAAGCCTATGTAATATGTCACACTTAGCGACATAAAAATGAAAGTACTCTTTCACCTGGCAGGGCTGTCAGTAGCGTAAAGTTACACAATAGGTCAATTGACAACTGTCAAAATGGGACACATGCAGACACTATCACCAAAGTAACATTGCCTTAGGTGCACGACCTATCATTTCGCAGGCATTTGGCCCCTGTCACACTCACACTAATTAAGCTTTCAGACTCGCAGACCGTTTATTCGAATATTCGCCATTCTATGAGCTATGAAGATCAATTGATAGCTGTCAAACTGAGATATTCACTAATCATCATGACCTGACGGTATGTCTTTTTTTTAAGATTTCCGCTGATATTTTATTTGATGACGGGCTCGATTCTGTATTTTTAGAGCGGGAAAACTCACATGTATCAGGCGTGTTTACGAGAAGTTAAGCCACCGGTTGTAAAACAACAATGCCTCGTTTATCAATTTAAATATGACCTGTGCGATGCAGGTACTTTATGTTGATTTTACACGCCGGCACTTACACCACCGCGTTGATGAACATAAAAACCTGTCTTCCTCTTTTGGCAAACATTTCTGCGAGAAACATCTTTTGGTTCCAAAGGATCTTAGCAAGAATTTCACTGTTTAAATAAATGTACAAACAAGTTTGATTAATTTGAAAATTGTAAAATCGACGCTGTTATTACAAAAGAGTCTTAAACGGCGTTTCGGCAATGTTGCCTTCTTCAGGGTACAAGAATATTGAAAAGATAATGTGGCAACGTTTACAGCCATCTGAGCGTAACAATTAAACGTTTAACATGATACAAGCAAAAAGAATATTGGCTGCCATGTTGGAGGGAAAGAGTATGCCTCAAAAATGGCGGCCACTGCAAATCACACTACCTTGTTAAAAAATCGAAGTGCCATAAAGTACCTCCCCTAAATACGTTTCCTCCCGAATTGGGAGTGTAAGATAATGTTATTTGCTCTGTCAATTTTTGGCATTAGCTAGATTCCAACTCATTGTTTAAAGGAAACATTGGTCCCGTGACTTCTTATTGTAAGTGGCCCATTTCTGCGCTTGTTTCTCAGACGTCATTTCGCGAGGAAAACAGTTGTGGCGTCGTGAATTGTCGGCTGTTTT